AAGAAACCGATGAGAGCTCAAAGTGAAAACAAGCCGACCGCTCCAAGCGCGGGAAAACGTGGGTGACCAAGTCGTGATCGGGTTTTTGTATGCATCTGATTGGTTGAGACGGTGGCACGAGTTTTCAAGACATGATCCAATCCTGGATGACTTTCGACACAATTGAAATTGCTTTAACCTTGATTTCGTTTTGCAGACAGATGAAACACCTCAAGGCAAACGGAAAAAGAAAGCGAAGAAGGACGCTGATGCCCCCAAGCGGCCGATGTCCGGCTACATGTTATGGCTGAGCGAAATCAGGGAACAAATCAAAGGGGAGAACCCTGGAATCTCAGTGACAGAGCTATCCAAAGTAGCGGGAGAGAAGTGGAAGAAAATTGAGGATAAAACAGTAAATGATCTTTGTATTCCTTATATCTCAATAATGCGAGAATGATGATTATGTAAGGATTTCTACAGTGCCATGTGCATCAGCTCGAGGCGCTCTACAGCACTTTGGCCAGACTACATTGAGCAGCTTACAGTTTTTGAAGGATATTTTTTTATTTCGGATTAAGGCCAAACCTCAACACAAGGTGCTCTTCAACCATAGCAAATTCTCCGCATTTTCTGTAATACATTTCCTTAAATTTTAATTCCTGTAATTTAGTGTTTTGGCAAACTCTATTTTTCTTTCTATCCATCATCTTTCTGCTGGAAAATGTCATGATAATGCGAGTAGAAATTACTTTTAAGTCACCTCTAACAAGGTAATTCGTGTTTAGAAATGGCAGGAAATGGCTAAAGAGGCGAAGAAGAAATACGACGAGGCAATGAAGGTGTACAAAGAGAAGAAAGCTAACGAACCAAATGATAGTCCAGATGAGAAACCGAGCAAGAAGGGTTCCGTAAAGGAGTTCTTTAATAAGAAGGGAGATAAAAAGAAAACTGCTTCTCCTCGAAAAGCTGGCAGCGGCGAGTCACAGAAATTTAAGAGCGCAGAATTTGTAGAAACTGACGATAGTTCCTCAGAGGATGAAGATAAGGTAAGTTTGTTTTCTTATATCTTATGACGTCCACAAAACTTCACTATAACATCGGTTGAAGTATTTTAGAGTTTTGATAATCGTTTCCCTTACTTGTTAAACTTATCTTGTATTTTTTATTTATGGAAAAACCACGCAGCGAGAGATGGGAGACCGAGTTGCACTTTGACTCGTTCACATCTCCTGCACTTTCAGAAAAAACGAGAGACGATTGGGTACGAGCCCAATGCTTACGTTTTAAATTGTAGAGCAAGTTCAATTTGCACTATCATTTGAGGTGTCCCATTTTATTTGACGATCTCCTATTTAATTTGCTTTTACAGAAAACCAAACCCAAACCCAAACCTAAAGCAAAAGCAAAACCTAAACCAGGAAAATCTAAGAGCAAAAGCAAAAAGGAATCAGAGGAGGAAGAATCCGAAGAAGAAGAAGAAGAATCTGAAGACGTAGATATGAGTGACGGGTCAGATTCAGACTGAAGTCAAGAAGTGCCAAGGAGTGCATAACTTACACAACAACTGCGCCTGCAGTAATGATGTCCATCTGTATGTTGAAAAGGGCACGCAAGCGAGACATTAAAGTCGTTTGTTTTAATTGCCTCATTTTCGTGTACACTATTTTTGTGGAAAAATACTTCAAGCTGTAAAACAGCCTGTGTCTGGTTGTGATACTGGGAGAACGGTTGAATAGAAAAAATCTGTGAGGGTTAATCTAAGTTTCTGTTTGTAAAAATAAACTGTAGGACCAAACTGGTTGTAAAAAGTTTTTTTTGCTCAGTTCGAAAAACGAGCGCAGATACACCATTAAACCTAATTTAGGATTGGAGGTTAAAAGTGTCAATTTATCGAAACAATACGATGAAAAATTGCAAAGTGTATGTAAGAACTCCGATTCAAATAAAAGTTTTTCAAACGAACAGCGACAAAATGTGATGCCAGCTGACAAAACTGATTTTTCTATAACAATTGAATTGTCAGTTCTTTTAATTGAAAATAGAAATTGCCTACATTGGAGGCAAATATTGACATTTCCTAGTTATGTTTTGATATCGATATGCCCCTTGGTTCTTTGCACGATCCCTATTTGAGTGTCCTGTGGCGAATTGGGCACAGGATTAACTTAAATACGCGACGGAATTATGAAAATATTGTTTTGTATTTGCGTGAGTGATGACGCAGCTACTTGGCGAGATTGATTAAGAAGGGCTTAAATTGGTAAACAGGAAAGGAAATGAGACATGATATTTCTTTAAATCAAGAAATGCAAATTATCTCTCTGTTTATCAACAATTTGGGATGTTTTCTTGTTTGTCTGTTTTTTTACGTATTCAAAGCTTCATTAGTTTTAAACGCCTGAGATCTGAAAAGAGAGGTAACTGGAGATGACAAAACCGAGGGTGGACTGGGAACTTTATGCCCGGTTATCTAAATCTCTCACTTTACGTGTTAAAATGATGTGATGTCAGCGGGACGGGGTGGAATGGAGATAGAAATAACTGCAGTAAACCAGTATCCTATTCAAGGGAAGGGGTTACTGGGGGTATCTTGTGCAAGACACGAAATTATTGTGAATAAACTGGGCATTTTCCCAAGAAAATTGTTGGAAATATAACAACTAAGGGTAAAAACTAATTGCCACCTTTGTAATTAAAATAGTGACTGAATCGCAGAAAATGTTCGAATTAGTGTCTCTATTAGATGGTCCTATCTTTGTTCGTTTCAAGCTTTGTAAAAGGTAACGAAGAAGTAAGATTGTCGTGAATTTAAAGTCTATCAAAAGCTAACAAAAGATCTTTCAATTTCGTTTGCTTCACGTAATTTTCAACATAAAATTCCAGAGCTCTGAAAAGACGCGAGCAAAAAAAAAAAAAAGAAGTGTCGACCTTACTTGGTGTTGAAAATATTTAGGGAAAGGTTGGTGAACAACAACAACTTAAATGTCTTTAGTACCGCTAATAAATTATTGATTGTCCATTATGAGAAATCTTTTTGAATTTCAGTCAAAAATATGCGAAATTTCCTTACAAAAGCGGGTGGGATCTCCACTAGTGTCAAATTCTTTGTCCATTTTCTTAAGCCCAAGAGTCCAGGTATTCTCTTGACATGTGACAGGTACACTTCTTTGATCAGTGCCTTCAAACGTTGAACACACTTCAAGTCGCTTCAATTTGGCGCGTTGCGTGAGGTGATCTCTCGAATTTTATAGAAAAGTACTTAACATAATATCTATGGCAACTCTTAAGCTGCGTAACATTTAGTTGGAACATTGCGCCCTCCACTAAGATCGTTGCAGTTATTAGCCACTTTCTTTGTGACCGAGGCAACTATTGTTCTTGACCGAAAAAATGGAATTTACACCCCATTAGCTGGCCGTGTCTAAAGTGGCAAAAATTCTGGAGGATTTGCACGAAAGGAGGTCTCTCTTTTTAACACTGTGTGGATTTTGACACATTCTTCCATTTCAGGTGAAGGTAAGGTAAGGGAATGTTTCGATTTTAAGTATAGGGCTCTCATTGCCTTGTTTTATCATATATGTTAGACCAGTACCTGTAAAACTAACACGCTGTTTTCTGTTACAAAAAATCTCTTTGAGTCTTTTTTAATTAAAAATGTTTTGTTTAACTTAACATCTGCAACGTTTTTTCCTCCTATTCCTATATCTTAACTTTTTTACAAAAATAACGAGAGAAAAAAAACTTTTAAAGTGACAAAACTTCCCATAATGACAAATCTGACGCACATTTTACGAAAATTGTGGCTAACTGAAATCTAGATTTTAACTCAAATTAAACGCTTACTTCGTTTCTCCTTCATAGAGCAGATCGAGTGGGTTTGTTGTGTATTTTCGGTCACAGCGAGAAAAACAAAGTGTACTGGATGGCAAAAATTTACTCGCTGATTTATTGATGAACTGAGACTCGCCATAAACAAAGACAATTCAATTGTGTTAAATATTAAGCAATGTTCATTTATTTCGTCTGAGTGCTTTCATTTTAGTCACAACTATCACATGACTTAAAAAATAAATGTTCTGAATAAAAATTTCACAGTCTTGTTCAATTCTATTGATAAATAATGTAGCGGAAATTATCAGAACCTTACGCTGGATCCTAAACGCATGTCGTTTTTAAAGCCTTTTATAATTTCTCTCTTTTAGTAACTGGTTTATCTTCAACACTTAGGAAATATGTTACCTGGTAAACTGGCTCTATTCCAAAACACGCGCAGGAGACGTGCGAGTCGTAAATATTTATAATGAGACAACTACAAACAAAACGAGACGATTGCATTCTCAATCGCGAAAGAGATGAAAAAAAGTTACAACTTTCGCTCTGTGTATATGCATTGATCATGTACCATTCTACAGTGATCTCATAGTGGTGTTCTGGTAATGCTAACCGGTACAAACGGTCGACTTATCCAAGAATCATCGCATAAAGGTCATAAAGTGATTGACTTCCATCATGAATGATGTTGGAAATTTTTTTCTTCATTTTTGCCAATTTTTTAGTATATATGTGTTCAAATTCTGTTGTTATCAAGACATTGTTAATTGGGATTTTGTTGTGAAAAAATTCGTGGGATGAATTAAAAAAAAACTGACAATGTTGCATTTACAGACTGCTTCAAGTCACTTTCTGCTTTTTAAAAACAATTGCTATATTTTTCAAACCGCGAAAGCTCTTAGATCCATGCTCGTCGGAGAGTATTGTTACTTTTCTGTGATCATGTAATGTTATCCATTCCTTATTCAGCTTGTTCTTGCGTAAGGACAAATTTTTAGTCGTTTAGATGCTATTCAAGTCGCTATTGTCGAAACCTTCTCGCTGACTGTGGGCTTATTCTTTATATAATTTATCAAACGGGTTACAGTTGACAGAAACGTTTAAACGGTATATGGTTTTAATGACACATAGTAAATACATTCTTCAATATACCGGTAACACATCATTCAAGAAAGCTAGCCTTCATATGGACTGAATCAATATAATATGAAAGGTGGATGCTTTATTGTAACTGTCTTTAAATCGCCTTCCCTGATAAATTGTTGGCTTTCTTGCGATATTTGGGCTCTTTTTTTTTACACTTCATACCATTTGACACCTGATTAAACTCGAACAAAACCTCTATTACCCGCCTCGTTTTCGAGTTGGCTTCTTTTGGCATAAATTAATAAGTCAAATATATTAGCATACTTAGGATGAATTATTTAAAATTAGCTACGCAGCTTAGTAAGTCTCTTGCGACACTCTTCCAGTTTACAATGGTCGTGGAAAGGAATTTCGACGAAATTTAATCGTGGAATGCTCTTGAGCTTTTGGACATTTTTGTACTGGACGACCTTATGTTGAAGCCAAGGTAAGGCGATGCGGTTTGCTTGCAAATTTCTACTCTTAGCGTGGGGCGAAGAGATTCTGGCTCGTGTGTACGTGCTTCTTCGGTCATTACCTTCCAATTTAAAATCTGTTTGCTCATTAGAGTCGTTCTTCTATGGGGCTAGCCTAATATTGTTTAAATACTACGAACCTTTTACAGTTTCGAAGTGTCTTTTTAACAACGTGTAGCTACGTGTGAAGAATGAGAGATAAGGGGAAATTTGTCTCACACCGTGTTTTCCCCGCAAATGTGAAAATGAACAGTGAGATATGTCACAAATGGTCGCTATTTTACTTCAATTGGATTTCAAAAGATACTTGATTCTGTATTAAGGAAAAACTAGCAATTAGGATCTGTTAAAAGGACGATAAAGCTTAAGATGTCGCTCCGGACGCTTTAAGTTCGTGAGCCATAATCCGCTTCCAACCAAAGAGCATTACACTTAACCGTGATTGTATTCTGATGTATTGTAACGTGAGCGTCAGACGTTTTACTTTCTTTGATTTCTTTTGTTTCATCTCACGATAATATGAACATGTATTCTAGAGGTGAACAAACTATTTTCTGAGTGTAGAGTGACTGTAACGTGTTGCCAAGTAGCTCTGCATGTGTTCTTTCCGAAAATTATTTTTCTGCATATGATTGAATAACGCGCTTCGCTCACAGAATTCCACTCACGTTGTCAAGGATTTTCAACCTCATGCCAAAGGAATGCTTCTGGTAATTTTACCGATGATATTATGGGCGTTTTGAAACATTCCTCTAATAGGCAATTTGATTTTAAGTAGCGATTAAAGGTGGTTCGTGACACGATGTGAAATTCGAGAACTGAAAATGTCAACAATTTTTGTGATGGAGCGATCAACTCTTGTCAACTTAGTCGAGTTTATCAGGTCACCGGTTTTAGCTAGATTTCGCCCTCCTATCAGTCAATCTACGATTTCTTACTGAAGGAAGCACCTCAGGTATTTACTTCTTTGCTTGGACACGCAAGGTTTGATGTTGATTCTCACGAAAGTTTTAACTAATAAAAAACATATTCCGTTAGGGGTAACCCATTCTTTGTCTTGACGGAAAAATGGCATGATTGGCGTTGTTTACGAAAAAATTTTAAACTGCGATTTCCTTAATCGCAAAGGGGTATTTGAGTAACTTAAGAAAGGTTACATCTGTCATATTTTAGGCTGACATTCTTTTACATTAGCTTAAAAAGTCTCACGGCACAACTTTGAAGAACTAATTATTTTCACTATTTTTTCATAACCACACGTGATAAAGGGTGCGTTTGAATTTACTACCCGTTAAGTTCATTGACTTTACAAACCTTAGCAAAATTTGTCGAGTTTTCCATTTTCAACCTTGGAAGAAAGATCTAAACTTTGGGAAAATTTTTGCATATGTATTATCATTCACAGCATTTGTAGATAGTTTGATAAAATAAATTTTATAAGTCAAATCTTGCAGCTGGCTCTCTTGAGATTTTTAAATTACTTCAGAACAAAAGTGCAGTGTTTATTCCATTCTTTTCAATAGAATGCAATGAGGCAAGTGGCCAATACAATTCAGTTCAACCTAGCTATTGTCTTAAGACATGTGGACGAGCGTGATTCACTGTTTACAAGCGGTGCTTGACTAAAAAAATAGGAATCTTAGATTGATTTTGAGAAAAACAACCTGACATCTTGTTGGCATTTAGCTGGTTACTCTTCTAATCTGAAAGACCAATTCACAGATGCTATATGTCTGATTAATATATACTTAAAAGCACATTTGACAAGAATTAAGAAGACAATTGCAAGAAGACAATGTCTTGATTTCTTTCCTTGATATCTCTTGAAATGTAAAGCATGCATTAGCACTTGCTTTTTAAGGGGTTTTACCTTAATGCAAGACAAAACTGAAAGAAAAAACCTATACAATTAAACATTCTGCAGAGCTACAAAACTAAATTTAAAATTTTTGGCAAACCCTCAGTTAGCTTAATCCTGCTTTGAATACTGTGTCCTAGAGTTTTATAAGGTGGTTCTATGATAAAGCACCAAATTTAACACCATGTTATGACCTAAGGGGACTATTTCTACTGTACTATTTCGTGGTGGAAGTAATGTTTTTTAAATCTCAATCAGTCAAGGATATTTTAATGTAAATTGAATGATGACTGAAAAGAACAAAATGATTTCCATAATTATGTACATTAGAAATCTTAACTGGTATGTGCCCTTTACCCTTTAACTCCCAAGATCTAATTAGCAATTCTCCCCTGTAGCTGTTACACTTTCCATGTAAATTAGTTACAAGAATTTGGTGTTAGATCAAGATTACAACTACTGCCTTATCTTTTTGAGTATTCTTATTTGCTGTTTGTTGTATAATGTATGGAAATTATAGGGAGAAGTTAGATGTTAATCACTTGTTAATGGGCTAAAGACATTCTAACTTCCAGTAGCTATAATTACAGTTTCTTGGCTATCATGTTCTTTAAATGGATGACTTCTTGATATAAACTAAATAACAGTTGTATGGAACATTGTCTGAGACTAGTTCTTTTCATTTGACAAAGTCTGTTTTGCAATTAGCCTAAAAATCTGAAATTTCAGAAGAAGCAAGGGGAACTTTGTGCTGTATTAAAACAAAGTGTTGAAGAAAGCATGATCCATCTCATATTCGGTACCTATGTCTATATCGTTGAGACACACAAAGTATGGCTTACTTCCCAAAGGAGATAATTTTATGCTGATTATTTTGTCTTGTTTGTCGATGTACACGTGATGTAATACCAGAGATGCACCTGGAGGAGAAAAAATAACAAATTCTAGGTTTCAATGAAGTCACCTGTATGTTTTTCTTCAGAATTCAGCATTCAAACAGCCATACTTTTTTATTCATGCATCTAAGATCACTCAATATGTACAGTAGAAAATATTATGCAGTTATTTAGTTTTTGACGATGTATGTCAACAACTTTCTCTCCTCTCTTTCCTTAGGAAAAGGACAAGAATATTTCTCTTCAGTTATGAAGGTGTGTATTTCTTAATATTTATTTCTAAACATCCTAAGGTGCATGCAAAAACATTAGTTTAATCGACACATCTTGTAGATGAACTGATTCTGTATTTTATTTTTTTGTTACATTGGTTATGTATAGACACCTAAAGTGACAAGTTGACAAGTGATTTTTTTTTCTTTTCTTATCCAGAAATCTGGTAGCCAAAAATTACGAAGAATGATACGAGGTGTGTTCTCCATGCATTTTGTTAAAAATCATTTATAATCATTCTTTATGGCTTGGTTGAAACCTTTTTTAATAATTTCATTGGTCAAAGTGAATCATATTATCATTTGCTTGGTTTTTGAGGTGCATTATTTCACTTAATGATTCAGTAGACTTACATCCATGTGTTCATAATACTTGTCTTTTGAATGTTTCAAACTTGTTTTACTGTGAAGTGGTTAGCTTGCCTGGATTGAAAGCTTTTCAGTGTACAACTTATCAGAAATAGTATTCTTTTCACTGTTTTCTTCTATATTATTTCATGACTGATACTTTGTCTTCCTCTTGCTAGTGTTGAACAATAGAAGTGATCAAATTAACTTCTCAGGTCCTTGTATAACGCAACAAATTGGAAACAGAAAAAGCAAACCAAAAAAATTATATACTTCTTCAGTTTACATTTGAATGGATCTTTCTTACTTCCCATCGCTCAGATATGATCAGTAATTCTAATAAAATTCAGACCTGGACAAATCCTATTTATTTTACTGAGTCACAGTTGTGTGAAAAAGTAGGTGTAGGCAGATGATTCAAACAAAACCTTAAAGATGGTTATTAGGTTGAACTGCATTTTTTTTGTTTTTGTTTTTGAAGTGTTGCACTTCTTTCAGTTTTTCAACTTTTTGATTTCTTGAAGTGATCAGAACTAAATTTCTCCACTTATTACAGTAAGCATAAAATGGCAAGTAAAGGATTAAATATTAAAAGATATGAATGTATTAAGGAACTGATTCCCAAATAGCTTGTTGTTTAACAAACACACACCATTACTATTGTAAGAAAATGTAGACAGTTGAGGAGAATTGCTATGTCAATGATAAGGCCAATTGATGTGAATAAATTTTAATAGTCACATGAATTTGCCAGTCAAGGTTCAAATCATTCAATTTAAAGAAAATTCCTTGACCTTTAACACTACTTAAGGCCACTTCCTGCTTAACAGCCTCACTTTTATCTTTCTAACCAGGAGCAAATAAACATTCAGGAATGTGCATGCTCAGCAATAAATACCACAAAAAATGACATGACGTGATAATTTTTAAGCTTCTCGATTTGCATACCACCGTGGGAAAATACCTGTGCATTGAGCCATGAAACAAGTTAAGCTACCTCAAGTGGGGGTAGGGCTACTAATTTGGGTTACACAGCTCTTTGTCAATATAGAAATAAATGAAATTTAGGGTGACATATTTACCTGGCTTAACTCTAGTCACAAGCATCTTTGGAGCATGACAGAAACCATGATTTGTAGACAAAACTGTAATCTTGTGTGGCATATTTTCATATCAGATATGTGGCTCTGTAAACATTCCTTTTGTTTCACTGGGGGTGATTGTTGTAACACAATAACTCATTAAAAACAACAAAAGGATGTAGAGACCTATCATCATTTACTGTAGTGTGGGCAAGAGAGGGCAAATCCTGTTATATTGGCTCAAAAGTGCAATACTGCCTTGTAAATTATTTTGGGGCCTTTCCAACAGAAGAACTAGAAATTTCACTGTCAATCTAAGCTGCCTCAAGCACATTTTGTTACTGCCAATATAATCAGGGACAGATGTTTGAAATTCATGCCCTTAGATTTTCAAAGACTTTGAAAGGTCAAAGACATCCTAGTGTTCGAAATAGCACTGACTTTATCAGGCAGGCATTAATGTGCGAATGTTATTTTCCCGTCATCCACTGTAGTTTCATTTTCAATGGGCAGTTTTCACGCTTTGAGGATTTGAGTATGTTTGTTTGAAATTTGGAAACACTGTGGAAGAGCAATGAGTAACGGTAACATCACTGGTATTTAGAAATAATCTTCTCTTAAGAAATATTTGTGTTCAAATCCTTAAATAGACAGTGTAGTTTTGAGTTATTTGTGCTTCACTGCACTTGTGTAGTTCAATAGATATCTCATCACTGAACAGTGCTATACAGCTCTGCTGGCATCTCGTGACTTTGTCGTGGATATTTTGGATTCATGCATTTTAGATTGCTTTGATTTATGTTAAGACATAGGTTAAGCGAGAAAGGAATGCTTAGAGAATTCCACCACATTGCTAAACCTTGTTTGTTTGATTTAGTATACCCGGTGCATGTACCAGTAGTCATACCAATTGCATGGTAAAAGAGTTGTGTTTCAAAAGCTAGAGTTTACAACACAACAAACCTGTTTTGGTTTTGTAAATGAAATTTGTATTTGTTGTAAATTCAACTGATGCACTTGCTATGGAGACTACGTCTTACTTCCCATTTTGACAAATTTTCAACTTTCTCAAAATGCTATCAATGGCATCGTCAATAATCAGAAATGCAATTTCTTAACCCCTTCTTTGTGTATGGTGTGTTCAAATTTGATGTGTTTTGAGGAAAGACATGAGATTCTACTTACCTTTAGAAATAGTTATGTTTCCTCTTTATATTGTAAGGAATGTGTGTAATTATGGTGTAGATTTTAATTTCAAATGTTCTTTGAATTTCAAGGTTCTTTTCTTGTCATGTGGAAGTTTACTTAAAAGATGCTCTTAACTTGCATTTGGCTGACATGCAAATTAAAACTGAAAATGAATAAATGGCGGATTACCATAATGGAACGTTCAGTTTTATTTTCCACTCATCCTTGGTTTCCTATGTTTGTAAAAATCTACTCTATCAAAGACAAACTTTTTGGTATAAGTACATGTTTTTGAAGCTGTATTTCCCTAAGTTTGAGTGCATTTTCAAATAGGAGTTTCTCCTTTATGTGTATAACATTTGAACATTTTGTTTTGAAATATTTTATATTTAATTCATTGAATAATTGTTAGAACAAGTAAGGGCTTTGTTCCTGAATTGATTTCTTTTTTTTTTAATTTCAATTCAACAGAAGCATCTTGTTATGACATCAATGGCAACAAGGTTAAACATGGAGAACCATTTGTGCCTGAGGGAAATGATTTTTGTTACCACTGCAAATGCCTGAGTGGACAAGCAGCGCAATGTTTTACCACAGAATGTGCAGTGCCAACATGTGAGGATTACAAAGCTATACCTGGCAAATGTTGCGCGTATACCTGCCCTTCAGGTTAGTTTACTTGACGACATACACTGTAAAAGACTTTCAATTGCCTCTTATACATGCAGGTTCAGGCTATTGCTGTAGTTTTTAACATGTGCGTATCTCAAACTTCTCCCATTTGAAACTTATACCCCATTCACACCAAACCTAAAACATATTTTGAAGCTGTTTTGTGAATTGCTGTTTGACATTGTTTTTTTATGTTGAAGTTGGTTAAATTGATGTTTGCAACTTCAAATTTAGCTCAGTGAAAGCAAAAGTCATTGAGTACTTCAACCCTCATAAAATTTAGTTTTTCAGTTTGTATTGCTGAATTTTATTCAGTTAAATCTGGTGTAACTTAACATGTTTTGTTGGTGTGAGTTGTGATTAGACTGTGTGGCTGATTCTCTCAAAGCAATATAGTATCCCAGTGTCTTTTTTTTCCTGAATATCCTTATATACCATCACATGAAACTTGCACTATGTTGTGATAAAACATGGACTAGTGTACATGTATGTCTGAGCATCAACTGTATTTGCTGGAATCAAGGCTATTAATGTTAGTAATGGAATTCTCTCCCTCTCTTGTTTTCTCTCTTTCCTGAGTAATGGAATTGAGGTTACTATAGTCTTATGGAATCAGTCAGTAAACAACCTACTTTCATTATTCTTTCACTGACACTGTGGCCTCATGAATACTTTTTGAGGAATAAATATGTGAGAAAAAATATTGCATAGCCAGTAGGTCTGAAAAATTGAGAGCATTACGAACATCTCAAGGACTGGGTCATTGTGTTGTGTTCTTGGATGAGATTCACAAGACTAGAAATGTATGTTGGCAACTTGTCTGAGTGACCTGATGAAATGTGGAAATATAAGCTCTAGGGGATTATATGACTAATCTCCTTAACCTCTTAAATCCCAAGATTCCTTATGTGTTTCACCTTTCTGACTGTCATACAGTTCCTTGTAGATATGACAGGGGAATTTGGTGTTGTAGTAACTTATTATCTTCTTGCTGATAAGCATGTTTATTCTCCTTACCTGTTTGCTAGATTGAAATTTTTGGAATGACTAGGAGAAGTTATAGGTTAATCACTTCTGGGGTCAAAGGCTTGAGGGGGCTTTGCAGTACACTTGCAGCTATAATCACCTTAAACCATGAAAAATGGGATAAGTTCCATTATGAGCATTTGTTGACTCCTAGGAATTCAATAATCTTATTCAAATATTTGTTTGTTTGTTCTTTATTGGTCGGAGTTATTTTGCCTTAGAAGGAACAGTTTCAACAATTTTGATGAAAAGGCATTTCTCCTTACAGCAACAATACATTCACAAACAGAATGGTGCTGAGATGGTAGAAAAGTATCAAAAAGAGAATATTTGATATGACAGTTTAACTCCCATGAAATTTCTCTCTATTATATCAATACATTATCTAGCAAACTGGATATTACACCCAATCCTTGGAGTTAAAAATTACAAGAAAAGTGATGTAGACAGTGAAGATAACTGTTATTAGGATCTTGTCAGCAAGAGGATTAAGTATAACAAGATAATTTGGTTTTTATCAACTGAGTTGATGTGAAGTGACCACTGTAAAGAGTTTCCAAAGCTGATATTTCGAGCACTAGCACTTTGTCAGGATGAAGGTCATCTATAAAAGCTCTCTACAGTGGCCAGTTCACATAATCAACTCAGTTGATAACATCAAATTACCCTGTAATATGCCCACCAACGCAGCACCATTCTATCGTAAAAAATTCACCCCATATTTAACAAAATTTTTGTGAGAGATGGAGGTGTGCCTTTAAAATATATTTCTTAAATCACTCTTTCTGTTTTTACTTCAGGTGTCAATTCAGAGGCTGCGGAGTTGGCAATAATCATCAGTTTGTCAGTGGGACTAGTACTGCTGCTTATACTCCTGGTGTTCGTCATCGACAGAAATCGAAAGAAAAATCGGAGAAATCGAACGAGAAGTGAAGTCCTGGAGCAATCACAAAATTTAAGACCAAGTAAGTGAGGCATCTCCGTGTAACTAACCCTATGGCCCCTAAATTAGCATTTTGCCTTACAATATCATCCCTGAATCGAACATTAAGGTCAGGAGAATAAAGGAGTGAGCAGCAACTAAAGAAGCTCTTGATTGTTAGGCTAATACTCCTTGTCAGAACCTTACGAAATATATAGAGAACAGTATGGAGAATATACATTTTGATGTTAGGGGAAAAGGGCTATTTGACACTAGTCCTTAAGTATTAAAAACATAGGGAAGAATTGACGAAATTTACTCTTATCTCATTTTTTGTTTATAGGACCGCTGAACAACAGACTTGCTGTAATTGCAGAAGAAAATGGTGATGGAATCGAACCACCTCCCCCTTACACCCCTGGTCGAGGGAGATACAGTATCAGAAAACCACACTATGCCTCCCCTCCCTTTACACCAAATGAACCGCCTCCTCCGTACGAAATAGATTCCAGAGAGGCCACAGACGTATAGCATAGGTTGACGACTGCTTTCAGTCGTTTAGGATTATTTGTACAGTTAAAATAAACCGGCGCGCCGGAAGTCGTGCGGGACCGTTGGACGGAAGTGACCAGTTCTGAATGAAAAATCTGTTTGTTTCGTTAAAGGAGTAGCTGTTAGGGTTGGATTTGGCGAGGCAACGGACCCAATTACAGAGGTGCAGCATGTGAAGCAGAGCTCTAGGAAGGATAGCAGTACATCCTGTCTGTTGGAAGGTTTTTTCAGCGAGAATCACAGGTAATCCTTTGGCCAATGCCTTGAGCAGAATCTGCAAGGGCCCTTTATTCGTTCTCCCAAAGAGGAAGCTTCAGATGAGGGCCCTGGTTCCCCCACGGAACAACGGCCCCAAAGAGATAGTGGATGACTTATCAAGTACAGTAATCTATAAAAGCTTTCTTCTCTTGCAAATTCCTTGAAAACCTAAACACGTTATGCGACTACACTGGTTGGCAAGGAATGGGGGGATTTAGGGCTTTTAAACCAGGAGGAACTAAAGAAAACTCAAAGCACCGTCGCTACCAATTATTTATTTAAATCAGCGTCTTTCAATCCTCACGGAACAAGAATTCAGGCGCTATAACGTAAAGTGAGCAATTCTCCTCGACTTGTCATCGTTGGAATATGTAAGAGTTTGGAGGTGGTCAACGCTTCAGATTTTATCTCCTTGGGAGGGGAACAAGCTGAAATCGTAAATTGATGCAGCGTTTTGTTGAAGAAAACATTTGACTTGAGTTTTGTTTAACGCGAAGTTTTGTTGTATAGTAGAGAAAAACTGACATTTTCAGTAGACCACTGTAAATATGAATTTTTTTTAAGGAAACTTTTTTTGATTTGCAATCTGAAGAAACCACCAAGGGTTTTAGCCATAGGAAGTTGATCTTTGTTTATCAAGTAAATGACGAGCAAACGGCGTTACAGGTTTTAGTTACCAGGATCAACGCGAATGGAGCGCTTCTCGATTGAGTGTCGTAAAAACCCAAACCAAAGCAATCGCAACCGCCAATCGTAGGAAGGAAAACGCCACAAGGAGCCAATGATAAGGAAGTTAAGACAAGTAAACTGTTTGAAACGCGGGAAAACGCGGGCGACTAAGTCGTGATTGGTTTTCATTTTTGAATCTGATTGGTCGCGAGTTTTATGAACCGATCACGACACAAAACAACCCCGGGTTACTTTCGACACTCAATTGAAAATGGCCCAGTATGACTTATTCGTTGAACTGATTGCATAGTTTTCTGACGAAAGGCAGAAATTCTTATTAGTGACGTCTTCTGACGCTTACTCCTGAAACTTGTAGTGAAGTAACCAACGTTTTCCTGAAAGAGTTCGGCAGCAAGTTTCTGAAGCGTTGAACAATTTTTTTGCCATTAGTTATCCTGTAAATAACTGTATTTTAAGGATATTTGTACTGAGAAACGTTCCCACCTTTAAGGGATGGTTAGCTCTCGCGAGGGGGAGAATTGCTATGTAGGAGTAGCTTTTTTTTCAGTAAAGAAAGATGTTATGCATGAAATGCTATTTATGATATGAAAGTTTTGTTGCATTCTACAGTCTGTGGTCAAATTAATTGCTATTAAATTAATTAACCTCTTATTAAGTACTTGTGGATTAGGATGGTGCTTTTCCCTTTTTAAGAAATTTCCTTCTTTCCTTGCTCAAGCAGGGTGAATGGTTATTGGTTAATAACCAATGTGGTGAATCCAGCTATTAGCGAAAGTAGGAGGCAGTTGGGTACCTTGAGCCCGCGAGCCTCAAGCTTGACTAAATGAATCATCCCTCAGACTAGTAGTCTTCTCTCATTCACTCACGGTCGTAAGAGAGTAACACTACCACCTACTATGACGAAGGGAACAATGGGAAGGAAGATGACGAAGAAAATGCCCCTCTCGTCTTTACCCCTTTGCATCCCTGTAAAGTAGAGAGACGACTTGGGACGAGTCCGTTTCCTCGGTTAGCGACTGTGAGAGGAACGAAGAGCGAGTAACAACAGAGGTTCAACCGGCGTAGAATACTTCTAACCACTCGCTAAGCCATCTATCTTTTTTATTTCGGAGAAATATGAAAATACATCTGAGGGAAAGATTAGCATCGGTCCTCAACCGGTTGTTAGTGGGAACCTTACGCAGTCGGGACAGCAACGCTGTGGAAGACGTCGATTAAAGAATGAAAGTCTATTTTTGTTAGAATTTCGCCAACGGCTGGGCCTACTTTGACGGCGCCACATTTCGACTTCATCATAATGTGCAGTAGCTGCGCTGATTTCCAAATGAAAATTTAAATAATTTTCCATCAGGTTTTTACCTTCAGAGGCCACGCAAATTTTGGTGATGAACGTTGTTTTTCAGAGAACGGCTAAGAAATGAACACAGTTTTAAAACGCACGTGCGGAGCTATATTTCCTCCCATTCGATCTGTTGTTTTGCCACGTCCTCGTCCCCGCCCTTGTCCCCGTCGTGGTTTGGTTAAGATCCCTCCTACTGTGTGGGGGACGGAAAGGTATGGGATTTCACTGTTTCGTTTTGCCTCTCAGATTTAACGTGGATTTTAGACCAGGTATTAAGGTATCCTTTGTACGCCTTTCTATTTTCTCGTTAATTGTCAGTTGTGGAAAACTTTAATATTTAATAAACATTTAAAACATAATAGAATAACTTGCATAAATATGAATGGTCAAGCATTCAAGTACACTGATATTAGAGATATATTGAAAAAGCAGAACGCCTGTGTTCTGATTACACAAGAATTGAAATCTATCTGATCGGAGTTTATTTGTCGTTTCGTTGTACTTGAATATGAAGAAAGATCAATTTAACAGACCAGTATACCACAATCACGTTCCAAAAATGAGCTCTTTCATTGAAAACTTATTTACTTACACTACATAAATAGCTCGTTTATCTTCGATGTTTATTTAGTGTCGTACAGACTTCCACCAGCCTGAGCTTAACTTCAATTCTGTAAATAGTTTTAGTGGGAAATAAGTGAGCTTTGCATGATTCCAAAACTCTCTCTTCTCATTCATACTGTACATTTATGTATGGTTTAACTAAATACTCCATTTTTTTAACACCTAATTTTTCCTCTTTTGTCGTAGCGTTTTTCCTGACCCTGTAAAAGCTTCAAATTCTGGCTTACTAGATTCTCCCTTGTTATTCGACTGTAAAAAAGAGAGAGTGACATGATAAGGAGAAACAACGATAACAACCAGAACAACAACACAAAAAACAACGTAAAGAGGGAGAAGTTTCCTTGACTTAACCACTTTACACCCCAACATCAGCATGCATATTCTCCATACTTTCTCTTTACATTTCCTAAGTTACCGACAAGGAGAATTTGTTGAACAATCCAAAGCCTTTTTTGTTGGTGATCATTTCCTTTATTCTTGAGACCTTAATGTGTGATTCAGGGGTGACATTGTAGGGAGAAATTAGATGCTGATCACTCTTAGGGGTAAAAGGGTTAAAATACTTGAAAGTCAACCGCCTTTACCGAAAAAAGAACATCAGAAAACGAAAAAACAAAACAAAAAAAAAACGGCCGTGCATAGCCGCAGAGCCCAAATCTACACCAATTGGGACAGAAATTTTTTTTTGATGAATTACAAATTGGTTGATCTACATGTACCTGTGAGTTGTTCGATTTGTTTAAGTTCCTTTTAAAAGTAATCTTCCCTTTTTCGAAGTCGTAATTAGGAATTCCCCTGAAATAGAAATAACATAAACAAGGTAAAGAAAGAGGAACGTCGAATCAGCCTCTAAACAGAAACGCCAATCATACCTCTTAATAACAGGAGGACCAATTGGTACCGGATTAGACGGAACATTTGACTTCTTTTTCTTCCCGTCCAAGCGAAATCCTGAACCAGTAAAAGCCTTCCAGTTTAAAAAAAGAAGGGAAAGTTAACTGGCGTTTTTTAAGCGTGCAGATACATGCGCCAGGCAGGCACGAGGAAAGCGTGAACGGCGAGCCCCGTGAACACCTCCGGGCTCGCCTGTTCAACGTAAAAAGAGGAACAATAAATAAATAAATTAATAAATAGATAAAAGATACGCATGTTCTGCAGCTTATGTATTCACAACAAAGTTGGGGAAGACCGAACAAACACAACTTCAAAAAGGGCTGGAGGCTTCTTTTTACTAAGTACGTTGATCGCAATTTTTGCAGGTTTTGCCAATGTTACTTTTAACAGGAAAATAAGATTCCTAATGGTAATTAGTACATTCTACAAACCATAGTGTCATCAATAGAATCCAAATGTACAACGTATGTTACCTGGAAACCATGTTCCACATGCGGTACATCAGCTTGCTAGAAGAAATTAGGGACGAAAAAAGCGAGTGTTCAGCGGAGTTGATCCGTTTGAGGTTTCGCGCATTTGTTCGTTCGCTCGCTGGCTAGTTAAGTTCAATAAGACTTACTGCTGCTTATTTCGACTTGACTTACCGTCTCTAGAAGTAAGGCTCTGTTGTCCTATTGGCAACATTCTCTTTTATAGATCACCATGCAATTATCATACCATTTCTTTTCTAGATTACCATACAATTTCTCTCTTAAGCTGCCTCTTGCATCGCTCTGACGAAGGGCTCACGCTCCAAACGTCAGCCTTTTTAACGATTTACGGTGGCCAATTTACGTTTTCAACTCAGTTGTTCACACTAAATTTCTTGCAAAGTTAGCAGGTTGTTGTTTCGTTCGTTATTTTGTTTGCGAGTTCCTAAACTCCATTCGTCTAACTACAATGTTTTTCATGGGTCAGTCACTCTGTGATTCGCCAAAAGTTTGTTCAGTGGTAGGTGAACAGATTCACGCATTGTTAAGGAAAAGATGATGGACTGATTGACTCGCTGACTGACTCACTTACATAACTTACAGACTGACTGATGGAGTAATAACCCAGCCGGCTGATTTACCGACTGTTTGACGGATTGGTTGACTGAGTGAGTGAGTGAGTGACTGACTGATTGATGGACTGACTGACTGACTGATCGACTGATTACATGACTGATTGACTGATTATTTGACGGACTGATTGTCTGACAGCCAGATCGTTTGACTGACTGGCTGACTTAACGACTGACAGACTGATTGACTAACTGATTGCCTGACTGGCGGGCTAACAGACTAAGTGACTGATGGACTGACTGAATAACTTACTAATTGACTAATTGACTAACTGGCAGGCTGACTTACTGTTAGACGAACTCATTGAATGAGTCATTGAGTAACTGTCCAACTGACTAATGGACTGACTGATTTAACCTCCAATTGACAGGATTGACTGACCTTCTGACACTGTCTGACTGACTGACTGACTGATGAATTGATTCATTGCTTACTTCTTCTTCTTTTTTCTCAGCCTTTTTCTCTTGCCTTTCTGGTTCAACATATCCAACAGGTGAGGCAAACTCAACCTAAAGGATTAACACCATGTACTCACTAACAATTATATTACTTTGTGGCCAGTGTAGTATGCATTATATAAATCACACTTTGTCTAATGGACTTTGCGACATTATGTTTGTACCTGCATATCACACTCGATAATTGACACTGCATTTCCAGGTTTTGTTTCAAGAACCAAAAACTCATAAATCTGAAAACCAACAAAGGAAATATCAATAGATTGTCACTTTAATCAATATGCTTTCAGAACACACAAATATTTCCAAGAAAGCATCCCAAATAGCCCTTAAACCCTTTAAAGTGACTAGCATCTACTTTCCCATCACAGTATCACCCCTGAATCAACCATTAAGGTCATGAGAGTAAAGGAAATGATCACCAACTAAAGAAGTTCTTGATTGTTAAACAAATTCTCCTTGTCAGAAACTTAGGAAATGTATAGAGAATACTTAGGGAGAAAATGCATACTGATGTTAGGGTGTAAAGGGTTGAATAACAATCTGAGTGTTAGTAATGACTGGCAAATTAAAAGAACCATCTCTTAGCAAAATACAAGCCATTTTCTGAATAAAAAAAAAGAAGGGAAAGGAAATCAGGAATGATTACAAAAAACAAATTCACTTCAAGAACCCTTATTGTTTACTGACCTTTTCATTGTACTTGATTGCAATTACATCACCTTTAGTGAGACAGGCAAATGACCTGAGTGCATTTTCTAAGCTATGTTATTTGTTAGGGAAGGTATTTTACATTCTATAGACTGTTTGTAAGTCACAAGCCACAGGGGGAAAAATTTACAAACTGTTGGATTATTCTCCCACATCTCAAATGGATTACGATGCTGGGAAACAGATAGAAAATTGTTTTAATACAATAAACTTCAAATGCTTTATTTTTTTAAGTGTTAACCTTTGCAATAAATGATAGGTTTTTTGAATAATCAGGGTGCTGGTAGCATCTCAATTATTAATCTCTTCAATTTACTAAAACATTTTTTAACTCAATGAACTGTTAGCAACTGCGTGAAAAAAATCGGGACTGTTTATTTCTTGTGTTAACAGGTTTATAAGTTCAATGTAACTGTATTTTCACACTTATCATGAACTGCAATTTGGATTATAAATGAAAGCATTCATAAGTTCCATATACAACAAAGGATACACAGCCTTTGGGTTGGTGATATCCAAAAAGTCA